CAAAAAAAGTATTATATGAAACAATTTCACAAGATTAAACAATTTCATGAAAAATTTTCATAAGATTAAACAATGAAATCGACGGATGAAGGTGGTTTGCACGGTTTACACAAATGAGGACGGTTTTTATTTGATCACTCCTATATATATATATATATATATATATATATCTTCAAAGGTTATTTTGAGAAGTGGTAAATATTTGAAAAGTAAATAAGTGATACTTGTTCTTCATACGGTCAAAATCGGATTTGATTGATCAATAATTGCGGTTTTCACTGGCCAATAATTATTGTTTTGACTGGACAAAGATTACGGCTATGCAAAACATAGGAAAAGTAGTTTTGTAAATTTTATAAATAGGGGACAAACAAGTTCATATATGAACCTATGTTATTCATATATGAACTATATGTTCATATGTGAACTCGTGTAATTCACATATGAACTATTTTAACTTATTCATATGTGAACCATTGTAATTCACATATGAACAAATTAACTGGGTCATATATGAACCTGTGTGATTCACATATGAATAATTTAACTGATTCATATATAAACCTGTGGGTTCATATGTGAACTAATTAACGGGTTAACAGATGAACGTTTAGTTCATATCACATGGATTCACATATGAACCCATTTGTCATCTATTTATAAAAGTTACAAAACTATTCATCTATCTTCTCATACTCATGCGAGGAATTATCCGATGCTTCACGATCAAAACCGCAAATATTGACCAGATGAATGACTAGGATAACTTCTTTGCTTCTCAAATGAACTTATATATATATATATATATATATGTGTGTGTGTGTGTGTGTGTGTGTATGTATATGTATATATAAAGGAGCGACCAAATGCAAACCATCCTTATTTGTACAAACCGTGCAAACCACCCTCATCGATTTCATTGTTTAATCTTATGAGGAAAAAAAATCATGAAATTGTTTCATATAATACTTTTTTTGATGAAGTTGTTTCATATATAGTTATGAAATTTTTTCATATAATATTTATGAAATTTTAATGAAACTGTTTCATGTATTTATCTAAAATTAATATAATGAAGATGATAATGTCCATGATTAACACCCTCCACAATAAAATCATAATTACAAAAAAATAAACAAAAATGAAAAATTATGATTGGTTGAATGATATTTGTACAAATAACGTGGTTTGCAAAGTGTAAGTGTGTGTGTATGTATATATATATAGGAGTAATCAAATGAAAGTCGCCCTCATTTGTGTAAACTTTGTAAACCAATCTCATTCATTCATTTTTCTTGATCAATGATCAAAATTTGTTTAGGTTATATTATGAAATTAAAAAAAATTATTTTATAATCCCGAAAAGGGCAAAATGATAACTTTGGTAGTGGTAATATTAATGGCAACCATATCATGTATATCGTAATATTAATGAAACAAAATCATTTGTAAAATAATATATTAATTTTATGTTCAAATATCATAAAGAAAACAACATCCATCATTAAAATAGATCAACAATAATAATAATAAAAACACACTAATAATCAATTTAACATAATGAAACCTTTTGAATAAAAAAAAATTACTACTACATTTCATGAACGAAATGGTTTCACAGTTTCATCAATACACAAATCAACGTAATGCTATATGAGACATTTGTCATTTTCAAGTTTCTGGTAGATGTATCCATTTCAATCTAATTATAAAATGGTTTCACTGTTTGCTAATTAAACAACATGTTCTTAACAATTATGAAATGGTTTCTCTGTCGTTATGCACCCATTTCATCGACAAAGTTTTTGTAATCCGAACACGTTTCATAGCGCCAATGCATCTACCATTACATGCTATGTTAACCATTAAGTGAACAAAATCATCCAAAAAAATTAATAAAAAAAATGAAACAATTTCATCAATAATTGTTGATAAGAACACAAAATTATCCAAAAATATTATATTACGCAATCAGTTCATCCCAAAAGTTTCATTAAACAAATTCCTCCATGAACGTTTTTCACAAAACAATCTGCATACGTTTCATTATATTATTTTTCATTTTTTCATTAAATTAGTGTCCTTTTTTGTAGTACAACATATTATGTATCCTAGTAAATTATGCAACGATTTAATCATAATTCTTTTGCTATCTAAACATGCGACACTACGTTACTGCTTCTACCAAACCATACAAAAAAATAACCACTAAGTGAACAAGATAAACCCAAAAAAAAAAAACATTTAAAACAATTTCATCAGCAACTATTTCAAAAGACGAATGTTTTATTAGTACATGAATTTGTTTCACTAATATGATAATTTTACCGGTTTATGAATCTCTGTTTAGGATCTGGTACTGATTTTGTGGATCAATCAATATAAGTTTTTGATCTTCATATTCTTACTACGTATAAACCTATAAAACAAATAAACATATTTAATTTTTAAAATACTAAATTAAACAAGCATTTAACTATTACCATTTCTAACATTTCCTTTATTACGTTTCCTTAATTAACATAACTTAATACCTTCCATATTTAATCAAAAACAATGTAAATTACAATTCAACCCTTAATGATTAAATTTAATTAAAAAAAAGAAATTTTTCTATTGGGCGAAATCGATTTACACGGTTTTTAAGAATTAGGCGGTTTTCAACGGATCCCGCTCTATATATGTATGTATATATGAGAGGGATAAAATGCAAACTAAACTATATGTACAAACCATGAAAACCGTCGATTTCATTGTTTATTTTAGTGAAAAAAGTTTATGAAATTGTTTTCAATAATTCATTATTGATGAAAATGTTTAATATATTTTTGTTTCTATGTAAAAATTAAATTGTTTCATGTATTTGTCGATGTTGATGAAATTTGTTTACAAAAATTAATAGAATAAAAATGATATGTCCATAATTATTTGAAACATTTTCATTATATTAAAAATTTTCACTAAAATAAACAATGAAATCGATAGTTTTTACAATTTGTACAAATTGAATGATTTGTAAAATATCCCTCCCATATATAGTATATATGTTTATGTATATAAGGTTGGGTTCACGTGAGACCAAGGGTTTTTCGTGAGACCTGTAAAACCAATTTATGTTCATTGATCAACTTTATACATTAATGATCTAATGATCTAAAGTTGTACGGTGATAATTTTATTATTATTGAAAAGTCCAGTGATAATTATGTGATTATAAATGTTTAGATTGTAGATCTAATCCAATGTTTGAAAATTGGTTTTACAGATCTCACAAAAAACCATTGGTCTCATAAGAATATATAATATATATGTATATGTATGTACGTAGAGGGGGTTGTTAAATTCACCAAACTAACTAATTTTCACCTTGTGCAGACTTCCTGAAGTGTCATTTCTTTAACTAATTTTCACTTTTATGTATTTAATTCATAAAAAAGTATATTTGTGGATTTACGCTTGTAAAATGTTGTCTAATTTGGTTCATCTATAAAAGAAAAATGATTATAAAGTGAAAAGAGATATGGAAATTGACTTGTTGGGTTGGGTTAATTTCATATACTGAAATAACCTTGAGAAGAAGTGCATGTTATTTCATATAATTTTTTCATCTATATTTGTTACATAATGTGAATAGTTTTTACGTGTTTGTGAAACGAAAAATAAATAGAACTAAAAACTGTAACATTATGAATCGAATACATACAAAACAAACACATAGTGAAACAAATTCATGTTAATCAATATAGTAAATGGTAAGAATTTAACAAATTCACCAACAAAAAAAGGATAGCAATGAAACCAGCTGCTGCTGCAGCAGCTGGCTTTTAACAACATTAGACGTTTGTACATAAATGGCAGAGTAAGATGTCATGGGGTTGCTGTTAGCGGACGAAACATAGAATCTATCTACATTACAAACTAATACCGTCTAAGATGATCCCTTGTGAAGAAAGGATGTCTTAGAGCCGCGTCTGCTGTTAGCCTTTCCGAAGGATCATACCTCAAAAGCCCTTGCAACACATGAATTAGATCACCTGCAGAATGGTCTACATGCTGCATTATCAAGTTCTGGAGTCGAGGTAGCTTCATAACTGCCTTTATACTTTCTCTTGAGCTGGCACCCTCAGGCCAGTCCAACCTACCCTTTCTAACGTACTTCTCCACATGTCGGCTGCACAGTAACCAACATATAAGACGGATAACGGAAAATAGGAACAAAGAATGTGAAAAGAAACAAACGGGCTTCTTACTCTGCTTTCTTCAACATGTGCATAGGCAACGGGCCCAGGACCCTCTCCATCATTGCTAGATGTTCCAGGTTTTCATGCGTTTGGAATAAAGCTTCACCCTGTCCAAAGCACGACTGTTAGTTATTCATAATCCTTGAAAAGAGCATGTTGCCCTGATCACATTGGAACTAAGTTCAAACTTACTGAGCAAAGCTCCACCAAAATACAACCCACACTCCATATATCACATGGGTAGCTCCATCCAAGTCCTGCATGTATAATACAACAAAGGTTAACACAACTGCCAAACAAGAGTGAAGGTACAAGATGATTAACCATGTTCAGTACCTAGGATAACTTCTGGTGCACGATAATGGCGTGTGGACACTATGTAGTTCTGGTCCTGACGGTCATATGTTGTACTACCAAAGTCGATCACCTTGATAGCACTGGATTTTGGGATTCTTTTGGAGAAAGACCCATCCTTTGGCGACCTAGATGAACACTAAACAAATACAAAGAAAGCAATATTAATACGTCAGCATGAACCACCACCACCATCATTGCCACAATAGCAAAGACAGTCCGTACCTTGTAATCAGGCACTTTGAGATACTCCCGAGACACTAGAAGAATGTTCTCAGGCTTTAAATCAGTGTGTATTAGCCGCAGATCATGCATAACTGAAAGACATTATAAAATATTCAATAATTCGATTCATTACAAAAGTGCAAAAAATCAAAAACTTTGAAACCTCTATTGACACCCAGCCTGAGGCGGGATACAGCCTAAAGAGGTTTTCTTCTTTTTAAAATATAAAGAAAAAGAATAGTTGTTTTTGAACAAAAGCATCAAAACCATAAAAAAAAAAGTATATGTAAAAGAGACTAGCTTAGGCGATTACTACACACATGCTATACATTCCAAGAGTTGTCTGCCAATCTCCCGAACTAGGTCAATTGGAAACGAACGATAATTGTTTTTGCGTAGAAAATCATATAAGCTTGGTCCAAGCTTCTCAAAAACCTGTTAAGACCATTTAAATGCACCCAAAATCTTAACCCCAAAACCTTTGTCAATCTGGGGAAACAAATCCACCACATTAATCATATCATATACTTACAATACAGATATGGTTACGATAGTCAAACCAGTTCCTTAATTGCACACAACTGCAAGGAATAAACCAATTTAACAACACAAACAAAAAACAACCCTGATGCACATATAACAAATAATGTGGCTTGTCACTCACCGATTGCCACCTTTATCGTGTTTACCAAGTTGTTGCAACACGTCAATCTCTATCATAGCTGCCTCACGGTATTTCTTTATACCGCGGACAATTTTTATAGCAACCATTTCCTTTCTTTCCTTGTCCCAACATTCCAATACTTGGCCGAACGTACCTGAGTTAAATATATATCAGTAAAATAATTCGATATAATACCAACAGCTACCGACAATTTATCTGAGAACTGACTCACCTTCTCCCATTTTTCCATGAATCTTATCTGCAAGTCACACATAAAAACAAAAAGAAGTAATCAGAAAAATATATATGACCAAGTAAATATTAGAGAACCAGTCAACAAATATTAGTTACATCTACTGAAGCAAACAAATTAGTACCTTTAAAAAAAATAAAAAAAGATAGAACAGCCGATCATAGAGGCTATGATACAAAAACAATTGCTTCCTAATACAATAAGAGTAACTACTCACATACACTAAGAACAGATATAGTGCTTTTTCAATTAGGCATGATGCAAGAATCTTCTTAGCATGTATAAACATGAATGTACCATAACCAGCAACCAACAATAAAAAAATTTCTATGATGGTGGTAAAGGATAGTTACATCGAGAAGTTAAATTATCTCCAACTGCAAATACATAATGTCCATCTTTATCATCTTGACGCCATGGGGGAGAACCAATTCGAGCCACACGCTTAACAAGGGATGAACTAATATGGTCTGATGGTGCCCGCGAAGGTGCAAAGCTGGTCAGATTTCCAATCTCTTGTCCACAAAACAATCCTAGCTGAGCCTACACACATGCATCCATTCATGTTCCTTTCAATATGCATAATCAATCCCTTACCATTTGATTTTTGATGCAGGATAGCAACCACGTATCACAATTTTCAACAATTCATAATATCAAATGAGTAAAAAACCACAAATCAAGGACACGTTTAAGAAAAATTAATATGAATGCATTATCATCAAGAGTAAGGCTGTTCTATGTTTAGCTTCGTTTAAAGAACCTTCAATGTCCACTGATCTCCAAAAATATCTTTTCAGAGAAAGTAGTTATCTTTCTTTTTTCTTAAAAGACCCACTCCACCAATATGAAAACACCAATAAAAATAAAATTACAACTATGTATTATTTCTTGAAAGATTTCTTGAAAGAGAAGGTTTAAACGATAATCCTTCTTTGAAAGAGTCCGATAAAAATTAAAGAAAAAAATCTTTATACGTCAATACCCTCTTGAGAGGAAAAAAACACGTAGTGCAGTTAAACGATTGAGGACGAACAATTGCAGAATCCATCAAAACCATAATTTATCGGAAAAAAACTACAAGGAAAATCTTTCAAACATTAAATCACAACACATAAGCGATAAAACCGAAAAAGAGCCTAGTAGATCTAATCATCTAACACAAGATTCTAGCTACAACAAATCAGAAACCAATTAAACAAAATAGATTTGACTTTTACTATTACCTGGTAAGGATGTACTAATTTCAATAAGATCTAGCAAAAGAAATCACCCAAACAACAAAAACACAACAAGAAAATTAGAGGAATCAGAAGAAACAGAAACAATACCCATACCTTCGGTGGTTGAGGAACCACATCCCAGCCCAATCGCTGTCGTTTCCTAGGCCTGACGTCTAATTGACTCATGGGAAACTCCGTAACACGCTCCATCTCCATATCCAATTTCACAAAAATCGCTCGATGATTGATCTATAAGAAAAACTGATGAGATTTGCAGGTAGACGATTTCGAAATTATTTGTAAGTTGTAACAGCGTAGATCTGTGAAGAAAACCCAACCCTAACGCAACCCTAATATTGACCATACAATGAGGCGGGTCGGTGAGATTGTATCCTGCCGTACACGTGTCTCATGTTTTAGACGTTGATCTGGCTTTATTTCCTAAACCATTGGGACGTTCACCGTGGTAAGTTGATGAATCATACTTTAAACTATGGTTAGATTAAACATATTTCGTTTGATTATCCCTAAAAGTGCGTTTGGTACACTAGACAAGAACATGATAAGAATCTATGTCTCATGTTTAGTATGAATTTTATGTGGAACAGACAGAAACAGAGTGGAACAAGCCTGTTCCATTCCTATCACATAGAACAAAGTGGAACAAGGTGGAACAGACTTATATTTTACCAATATAACATCAAAATAAAACTTAATTCTCTTATAAAAATCAAATAGGTCTCTCTTTTACATTTTATTCATTTTTTGAATTTTATTTATTATATTTTATGTTTCTTAAACTTTCATTTTACTGTTCTCAAAATATTATTTTTATATGGTTTCTATATTTTTATTAATTTATGTAATTTATTATATATTAATAATAAAAAATAATGTAGAAAAGAGATAAAAATAAAAATAGACCATAAAAAAGAGATAAGTGAATTCTTTTGTTTTCTGGAAACCAAGTTTTGTGAATGTGATAATATTATATGGGATCACTAGCCAAATTGTTTTCATGATACTTAAAATTTATTTACTATTTGATATTTAATCCATTTAATTAATTATACGCTTGTTGGTAGTAGTTTTTTCTTCTTAGTATGGAATGCATATAGATTTGCTTCGATAATGAATTCTTGATGTTTATATTATATTCACCTTTTTCATATATCATTAGTTGATTATAAAATCATGTATTTTTGCAAATGTATTTTTGCAAGTAGTAGTGGTTTGATGTAAGTTATACTTTGCATATTGTATTTGTTAACATTTATATTGATTATTTAGTTAATAAAACACTAAACAGCTCATTGAGGATAAATTGGTCATTTTAACCAGTTCTATCCAGTTCTGTCATGTCTTACCAAACGTTGAACAGTCGTCCTGTCCTCTTCTGTCCCATCATATCCTGTCTGCATACCAAACGCACCCTAAATGTTATTTAATATTCTTTTATATCATATTAGAATGGTATTCTTGTAATAAATAAAGCGATATATATCTCGCTTTTAATATTTTGTTTTATTCTTTGTCTCTATCATTTTATATAGTTTTGAAAATATCATCAAAATTTTAAAAAATTATATATCAATATTAGTATTTAAAAATTCTATTTTTTGTGTAATTTATTTAATTCAAAATTTTATTATARTTTAATTTAGGTTTAATAATGAAATAATTTATTTTTGATTTAATAATATTTTTTTTATAAAGATAATAATTAAATATTTTGTTATAATTTAGTGATTATTCTAATTATTTTAGATTTTTTATATTTAAAATGAGATGTTTATAATATAAAAAACATTTTATAAATCAATAAACACTAACCATAAAAGGCAATTTGTAAATCAACAAACACTAACCATAAAAAGCACTTTGTAAATCAACAAGCATTAACCATAAAAAAAAGCATTTTGTAAAGCCAAAAATACAAATAGAAGTGTTGATGACATCCATGGCAAACGAAATAGATGAAACCTAATCGAAAACCATGTAAATCGTATCTGGAGAAATCGAGACCGAACCTTGTCGAGGAGATGAAGATCCTGGAAGAAGTCGTGAATAGGATGGAGGCGTCGATTTTAGATTAGGTTTTTTAATCAGATGGTCTAAAAGGGTAACGTTGTAATCTTGTTATTTAGTTCCATTTTATTCCACCTATTTTGGTGGAACAAATTTTTTCAAGTTTGTCCCGTAAAATTTCATTTTTGTCCCGTCTTATATTTATCCCATGATATACTAAGGCTATTTTTTTTATCTCGTCACATCTCATCAAATCCGTGTATGGCAACTTACACATAGTGCTAGCGAGTAAGGGTGTTTATGGGTTGGGTTGATCGGGTTGAAGCCATTTGAACAACTCAACCTAATACTTGTGGTTTGAAAAATCTTAACTTAACCCAACCCAACCCAAACGAAAGTGCAACCCAACCCAACCCAAACCGTACGGGTTGGTCGGGTTGATACTTTGGTACATTAAAAATATTCTTCTAAATTGAATATGTTATTTTTCTACTCATAATTTCTTTTTCATCATCAATCATTTGATACGACTTATCCATACTTCTTACGTATATCACATCCAGTTAATTTTCTCAATTTACGTATATATTGTTTATAATTACGAATGTGTTATATAGAGATGTGAATATATTGAAAAGATGTGTATATGAATAGCGTACGTGATAATGTAATTGTCTATTGTATATATTAATAGAAATTCAACAATTATATTAAATCCAATAAATAAATGGATATCGGGTTCATCGGGTTGGGTTGGGTTCAAATAATAGTAACTCAATATCATCCTAATACCTATGGTTTGAAAATTTTACAACTCGATTAGACATCGGGTTGCTTCGGGTTGAATTATTTGACGTTAAGTTGGGTTGGGTTGATCAGAATAAACGGGGACACGTCTTTTATTAAACGGACCATATAATTTGGGTGTTTTTATGTGCACCAATGTTTATATTATTATTATTATTATTATTATTATTATTATTATTATTATTATTTATTTATTTACATTATATTGTTTTAAGTTAATTTTTTATTTTGATTATGATTATGAGAAAAAGGATAGTTAAAAAAGTAAAAGCAATGACTAAGAGACTAGAATTTTTAAATATAAATCATATAATTATTATAAATTGTATAAAATTAATCTTAACTTTTGATTTTGTTTCTTTTAAAATTTATAACTGGTTATCAGATCAGATCAGTTAAAGATGTGGTTGAAAGTAAATTAGGAGCTGATTTAATCCACACTCTAAATTGTGTTGACTCCAACATGCATGAAAGTGGCATCCAAGTAATGTCTCACATGGGTATTAATGGAGTTTGCATCCGGGTCGGGTAACTTTATCAGCCCCTTGACCCGCATGATAATTGGCTTTAGCCATTACTTGTATGCATGTTGGGAAACTGGGCGACTTCCCATACGACTTTAGCACCCAAGGGTTGTAGGACGGTTTTGATGTGGTTTCTTCTTCATTTTTGATACGGGGCTTTCCACATAACATATCAATAGTTCTCTTAACGAAATGGATTTAGTTCGAACAACACGAAATATGTGTTATCTTCATCAATTTCTCAGTTTCTCAAGCATTGTAAACATCGATCAATTATAGTAGACTTCTCGGTGGTCTCCTTTGCCCATGGTTTTTTCGACCTCAGTATGCTCGGTTGAATCGATTTTGGTGTGGTCGATATTTGGGTTGAGTTCGTATTTTAATTAAAAGTTGTAATTATGAGGGAGAGTTTATGTGAATGGATAATTGGATGTGTGTAAGGTCAAAATGAACGCAGAGGATATTCCTTACGACTTGGACTTAGGGTGTTCACAAGTTGGGTTGGGCGGTTTACGGTATTTTTATAACGGACAACCTAATTATAGTGGTCTACAAAATTATTAACCAATCTAATCCATTCAAAAGTATAAACCAACACCAACCCGTATGGGCTGGGTTGTTGACGTGAGTTATCAATCAATCAAGAGAAATCCAAGATTCTAAATTTGTAAATAAGGAAGATTGAGGGGTCGTTTACCAAACATCTACCCCGTAGGTGATTACCGGTAAAATTTAACACTATTATTTACTTACTGCGTAAAATTTTAATCCACCAAAACGAAATCGTATGCAACAATTTACCTGGTAAGCGCTTACCGTGGTAAGAGTCGTCGCCCTCACTTACCGGGGTAAGACTCTTGGTTCTTGTCTCGCTCTTACTGGGTAAGATTCTTGGTCTTTATCATATTCATCCAGTGACGTAATGTTACTTGGTAAGTGCTTACACAGGTAAGCATTTGGTAAACGGCCCCTGTAGAAAAGTCTTGTATAGCAAATATTTTCTTGGTTTATAGTCTCATAGTGTTTATATATCCTTGTAATAGCGTATGAAATAATCAAGAGAGAAAAATCCTGACGTGAGTTGGGTTGGCAGGGTTAGTGGTTACATGAATGAAATATTTCATAAGACTTAAATTTATAGGATCAAACTATAAAACTTATATCTAAAAATGTTACAATAGGGTTATAGGACATTTTTTGGCGTTTCAACAAATTTTTAGAACCTTTTTAAATAAAGTGTTATATTAGTTAAAATCCATTTCAATCTTATGTTTGGTTTGTTGGATTGTCCGTATTTGAAATCTTATAAAAAAATAGAATTTTGAAATTCTTAGGGGATGCTCGGGATTTCACGGAATTTCGTAGGATTGAATGAAATAAGGTTTTAAAATTTGCTAAAATCATTTGTTTTATAATCATTGATTAATGAACTAATTTAATTATTAAATAATTTCTTTATAAATAATAAAATCAAATTCCATTGTATATCCTACAAACCAAACAAACTAAGGATGAGCAGCGGAACCGGGTACCCACTTGCGGAACCGGAACTGCCGATTCCAGAATCGGAACCGATATGAGTGGTTCCGGTTTCTAAAATACGGAACCGATTGAGAATGGCTTCGCTTCTCAATTTTTCGGAACCGTTACCCGCCGGGACTAACTAGTTTCTTTATTGATGTAAGTCATAAGTTACGAATCATAAGTTACGAATTTGTGCAGTTTTTTTTTATATATTTTGTGTAGTTTTTTGTAAAAAAATATGTATGTTTTTTTATATAACTTGTGCAGTTTTTTATGTAATTTGTGTAGTTTTATGTTAAAAATACGTGCAGTTTTTTATATAATTTTGTGCAGTTTTTATACAAAGTTTGTGCAGTTTTTTTATATAAAATTTGTGTAGTTTTTTGTTAAAAATATGTGTAGTTTTTAGATAAAAATATGTGCAGTTTTTTACAAGTTTGTGTAGTTTTTAAACACTCAATTATTCACAGGTACCGTACGAGGTTGAGGATGCGATGGGTATGCAAAAAGTTGAAACGAGATTCAGAATTTGAGATAAATGATTCGTATTTTTTCAAATTGTGTGTTTAATTGAATTTGTAGTATGTAATCGTTAAACTTTAAACATTTAAAATTATAGTATGTAATCGTTAAACTTTTAACATTTACTATTAGTCTATTATGGTTTGTAATCCTTAAACAATATTTGTAATCATTATTCCGCATAATTTGTATTCTTGTTTATTTATTTAGTTTTTGGCAATATTTTATTTTTTATTTCTAAATAACAAAACTTTAATATTTTAGGAAGCGGGTACCCGGAACCGGTTCCAGTTCCCGGTTCCAAAAATTCAAGAACCATTCTAACCGGTTTCAGTTCCGGTTCCAATATCTCAAGAACCGCTAGTTCCGGTCAAATAGGGCGAAAACCCGCCTATGCTCTCCCCTAAAACAAACTAATTATTTCAAATTCATTTCAATCCAAATCTCTCTAAAAAATCCAAATTTCTCAAAAACAACCCTTAAAACCCAAACAACCCTTAGGTGGCGTTTGTTTTTTAAGAGGTGTTGAAGTCTGAATTCACTTCTGAATTTTAAGAGGTGGTGCTGAAGTCTGAAATCTGAATCAGTCAGACTGTTTGTTTTTACGTCTGAAATCTGAWATCTGAATCAGTCAGACTGTTTGTTTTTACGTCTGAAATCTGAATCAGTCAGACTGTTTGTAAAAAGAAAAGAATAAGGACTGCAGGGTCTTAATTTGTCCTAAAAACAAATGTGTTCCTGCTAGTTAACTTTTGGGTTACTAGCAATCAGCATGTGCTTTCTTTGGTAACCCTTGCTTTCTTTGGTAACCCTGGATGATTTAACAATGGATGATTTAACAATGGGAAGCATTGGTAACCCCACTCTGTTGTTCACCGCTTCAATAATCCATCACATCATTCCTTGTTCTTCAACTTCTCGACCCTGCTATTCAACTGATCGATCTTAACAACCAAGTGAGTCACAGAGTACAACAGCCAATAGAAAACCAAAGCCGAGACGATCAACAACATGTTACGCTGGCTCTTCATGATGGATTTCTGGTGACGCAAATGCTCCGTCGGGGTACACGAGTCCGAAGCGCAGCTCGGTCGATTCTCGTATTTCCAGTAGATATCCATGAATAGAAACAGGCAAAAGGGGACGATCGAGAGGAACGGTTTGAGGAGGTTACGGATGACGGCTACTAAGCCCTTTCGGAGCGGGCCAAGTCCGGGAACGGTTAGTAGGAGGACCATAACTGCTTCTGCAGCGGCAGCGTAGCCGAGAACAACCCATTCTAACGCCATTGTTGATTGAATTGAGAGGAAGAAAACCCTAGATCTGATGTGGACGATGAGGGCGATTGTGGAGTGGGAAGGAAGAAAACCCTTCCTTTTATCCACCAAAAAGTTTATCCTCCAAAAAAGTTTATCCCCCTTTTCCATTGGAGAAGATCAAAGAGGAAACGGAAGATGATAAAACGAGCGAAGGATCTGGTGGTGGTTGGGAAAATAAGAGGTTTTCAGAGTTCCAATTACATCTAAACGATTCAGACAAAATGACACAAATTCAGCTCTTAATTGAAAGAAAAAACAAACGCACTTAATACCTCAAAGTCTGACCGATTCAGACATAAGAGGTATTAAGTGCTTTTTTTTGAAAAACAAACAACCCCTTCGTGTTTTTTCCTTTTTTTTTTTGTGTCGTTTTCAAATCTTTTCCATTTTGTTTTTATTTTCTACTAATATCATATCGATACTTAGAAAGCCTGAAATTATGTGAAACACGTCTTTTTATATAAAATAAACAAATTTCAAAATGTGGTGGTGTAGATTATGGCTGGTTTTACTAAGAATTTCTTTTCTTCTAAAATCAAACTTTATACTTTTCTAACATGTCGTCTAACATTTAGGGTGCATATTCAGACACGACATGATATAACAGTACAATACAAGATAATATAACAACTGGTATTACATAAACAGACAGGATACGTACAATGACCAGCTTACTCTTAATAAATTATTTATATATTTTCTATATTTTGACTAACTTATATAATTTATTAACTTACATTAAAATAAATACTTTTTATAACAAAATATGTTATCAAAACAATTAAAATGACACAAAATATGAAGTTTGTATAATTTTCAAATTTTATTTTATACCTTTTTTATATTATTTTTATATGATTGATATTTAATAAATTACATAAATTAACCAAATATAGAAACTGTATAAAAAAATTATTTTGAGTACAATAAAATGAAAGTTTAGAAAATATAAAAATATTAAATAAAATTTAAATATTGAATAAAATGTAAAAGGTAAGCATATTTGATGTTTCAAACGGGAATTATTTTATTTTGAGGGTAAATTGATAAAATATAGGCGTGTTCCACCTTATTCAAATGGGGTGGAGGTGGAATAAGCCAGTTCCACTGTGTTCCACCATGTTCATTGTTTCCGTCTGTTCCACATAAAAATAACGCAAAACGTGTTACAATGATCTATGTTCTGTCATGTCTAGTGTATCAAACGCACCCTTAATGGTTTGACTATTTGAAAGTAAGTCACGTTCAAACAGAACAATGATCACATAATAAAACACACGATCAATCGAATCACATGTGATTTTACACTAAAATCACATGTAAATCACATGTGATTTATGCAACCTTGAACGCAATTGAGATCGTAGGTCAAGTCGGCTCCATTAGCCCTTGCATTAACTCTATTCTACTATCATGTATGATTTCAGTACAATATTACATGTGATTTGATCATTCTCCTATTTTCTTATTTTAAATATTTTTGCTTCAACCTCCCTCATTTGAACGTTGACTACGTTTGTTGACATGATTTTTTGATTTCTCTTGGTCCTTTATTAGAGATCTATGCTAAGCATTTAGATATCTATGCCTAAGGAGTTGTTTACCAAATATTTTATTAAGTTATGTATGGATAAATTTGTCTGTCTGAATAAATGAGTGTTATTGTTTACTTTTTTTTATCTAAACCAACAGTCTGAATAACATAAATGACTGATTTACCCCATTATTAATTATTTGAACATCAAAACAAAAAATCATAAAGAGGCTGAAGATGAGATGTCTCATATGGGAGGTGGTGCTTTAAATAAGAGGTAGGAGTGTCATTTTTGTGGCTGAATGAGAACAACACATCATTTCTATCTGTGCGATTAAGCCATGTTCTGTACGAATAAGCCGTAAGTAAACAACTCAAATGAGCTGTGCCAATAAGCCAGATAGACCAATAAGCCTAATTAAGCCGCAAGTAAACAACCATTTAGTCTATAAACCTGTCAAACATGCTTAACTCATAATACTCGTTTTATATTTTATGTTTTAATGAACATAAAACATAAATTACATGAAGTTTGAAACAAAATTCATTTTGGTTTATATTTTGAAAATCTATTTTAAAAAACTTTATTTTAATAAATATGTTATATATTTGATACAGTTAAGACGACATATTATATGCTTAATGAAATTAAGAGAATAAACTTTCTATGATTTTGTGGGAAAAAAATGTTTTACAATTTTTAAATAAAAAATATTTATTGGAAAAACTTATAAAATTCTTTTGTTTGAAATATCTTTTTATAGACATCAAAATTGATTTTTTTTTTTAAATTAGGTTTTTTCAAACAGAACTCGAAACAAGTTATGTTACATTTTGATGTAAGTTGTTCATTTTTTTTTAAATTATGATATAATATTCAAATAATATTAACACCATAAAAAACCGAATTTGACCGGCATGAATCATGATGTAGTTTTATAACACATGTCAATATGTCTTGCTAAGAAATCGCCTTGTAACGGTTGTTTACAAGAATATAAATATGTTAATCATAAAGACAGTGTCTGATTAGTTTTGAGTTTGACTCCAAAGGTTAAATATGTTTGGAGGTCTTAGATTCAAATTCAATGAGAAGTAAATATCCCTTTGTGGCCGTGAAGATTCAAATACGGTGACTTCAAGTTACCCGTAAAACAGATGATCGTTCTAAGATTAATTGATTCGCATAACGAGTTGGATATCCAGGATAATAAAAAATATAAATATTTATTTGCATTAGTTTTTCAAAATAAAAATTATTGAATATTCTTTACAAATTATATATCTATACTATATTATAAAGCATTTGACAAAAACCACTTTTTATTACTTAAAACTCAAGATTGCAAGTAAATTGTGTGTAAGTACAACTTATTAAAGCTCCATATCTGAATTCGTGTAACTAACTGCAGATAAACATAATCAAATACATGATAAACATCGTATTTAAAAAAATCTAAAATATAATTAGGATAATCATTTAATTCTAACATAATACTTAATTATTATCTTTATAAAATGTTATATTATTAAACCAAAAATAAATTATTTTGTTATTAAACTTAAATTAAATTATAATAAAAAAATAAATTAAAGAAATTATATAAAAAAATGAGAACTTTTAAATAGTTGATTTTGATATTAACATTGATATTTTTTTTTCAAATTTTTATGATATCTTCAAATTCATATTTTATTCAAAAATAAAATCATTATTATTTTTTTAAAAACACATAAAATCGTATTATAACATCGACATAAACAAATAATAAAATATAACATTAAAATCAAGATGTGTTCCGTTGCATTGCGCGAGTACTTTTCTATTATGTGTGTGTGTGTGTGTATATATATAGGGGTCTAATCAAATTAGAACTGATTAGTTTGTGGTACTCAACCACAAATAAACGGATAAATTAGGAAATTAATAATTATGGTAGTTTGAGTTAAAATTATAATTATAGGGCATATTAGGTATTTTTAAAAAACTCCTCTCTCCTCTCTCATCTCTCCGACCTCCAATCTCCGGCCCTTGGTGAAATCGATATCACAGTATATCACAATGGGTATCACATTATGTATTACAATGGATATCACATTGTGTATCTTTGTTTTTAAGGTTTGAGTTGGTATCGTAGTTGGTATCACAATGATATCACAGTATATCACAATGGATATCACATTGTGTATCTTTGTGATTACTTGGTACCTGCCGAATTAATGTTTACCGGAGACCGGAAATTGGAGGTCGGAGAGATGAGAGAGGAGTTTTAAAAAAAATACTTAATATGCCTTCTAATTATAATTTTAACTCAAACTACCATAATTATTAATTTCCTAATTTGTCCGTTGATTTGTGGTTGAGATTGGATCTCACAGTTACCACAAACTAATCAGTTTTCCCTTGAATGGACCTATATATATATATATATATATATATATATGGTTGGGTTCACGTGAGACCAATGGTTTTTCGTGAGACCCGTAAGACCAATTTATATTCATTGATCAACTTTATAAGTTAATAATCTAATGGTCTAAATTGCACGGTGGCAATTTTGTGATTATTGAGAAATCTCGTGGCGTTTATGAATGTTTAGATTTTCAGATTGTAAATCTAATTCAAGGGTTAATAATTGGTCTTACAGGTCTCACGAAAAACCATTGATCTCACATGATCTCAAGTATATATATATATATATATATATATATATAGGGGCAGGTTCAAATGCGAACCATCCAATTCTTAAAAACCGCGTAAACCAATTTCGACCAATAAGAAAATTTCATTTATTTTTAATTAAATTTAATTGATAAGGTTATTTATGTCATTTTACACAATTTTTTGATAATTAAGGAAGTTAGTAATA